TCCCCAGATGCTTTGAATAGCATATGACTGCAGTTACAAATTGTTGGGCTTTGTCACTTGTGAGTATCCATCGGCTTCATCAGGATTTGAAACCCAAGAATGCTAGCGCCAAGCACTGCTAATCAGCAGAGTACGCCACTGCGCCATGGACAGGTGAGGACCGTCATGCTTTACAAGCTAACTGCGATAAAGCCAACATGGGGACAAGAATTTTCTTAAGGGGGCATTTGACTTTCATCTAGATACAATTGGCTGGAAAAATAAAGGAGTAAATGGTAGTTTGGTGGAAACATTTGTCCTTAGATTTTGTTAGAATATAAAACAGTATAAAGCCTGTATACATGTTACAACTTTTCTACGCATGCGATTCGTGCACGCGATTACACAGATTACAGTCACGGTAAGCAGCAAAAGAGCACCCTGTTTAGTTATAGAGAGCAAAGCAACTTGGATAGTTGTACATTACAAAAACATAAAGTCAAAGGCTTTTTGGAACACTAAGTGGATAAGTTCTATATTTTAAGCATATTCGTTCGGGATATGTGAGGCATGCGTACAATCAGTTGTTAGAAATAGCGGATTATATGTTCAAGCAGGTAGGTGCAAAATCCTACTACCATGATTCTTATGAAATTTAAATTCTGATTAAGATCTTCATTAAAACTAATGGTAAATATTTGACGATGTGAAAGCTGTGCCTACTTTAGATTTTCCGCGATTGCTTTTGCACAGCCACAACAGACTGATGTAATACTTTGACTGGGTTCAAGTATATTAGCTGATTTCAACTAGTATATCGAGCGTTTTATTCGTCTGAGAATAATGCCTAGTATATATAGATACTTTTTTTTGCATCTCAACGCATGCTTTATTGCTAATGGGATTAAAAATACATCTCTTTGAGAAATCCTTTGAAGGTAGACCAATTGGTTGAAATGTATACCTATAAACTTACTTGCATTCGTATTCCGACAAAGTATGTTTGATCAGCCTGTAGTACTCATCCGAATTTAAAGCAATTTTGCTGGATTGGTCTTGTAAAGCAACGACCACTTCTCGAACCGTATCGTTTCTGTGTACTGTACACTGTTCTGCGATTCTCTCTTGCATCAAGAGACATTTGTTCCGATGCTCACGGAAAACTGGTTTGGGGAAATAATGCATTGGTACATAAGTATAATTTGCAGTCCAAATTCTAAAAAATGCAGTTCATAAATTAATGCTTAAGACTACATTTCATTCAGTTTGAAGTATAACGATTCATACTTTGCATATTATTACTTATAACCGGATTGTACTAATAAATCTTGGTTAAAATTATATCATTTATCCTATTAATTTTGGGTCATTATTTGATGATCTCGCTTTATCAAATTAGCATGAAGAATCGTTCTTATTATGCATTAATCCAAACGCACCATAACGAGTTTTAAGCATATTTCTTGGAATCTAACAAACCAGAGAAAGATCCAGTTATGTGACAAAAATAGTGTTGGGGATAAATGCAATATAGTTTGCGTTGTAAAGGTGTTTTATCTAAGGTATTGTTCCTTTTAAAAGGGAGGTAGATTCGATAGTGCAAAACGAAATCCTTTGCGTTTCTCTAATATACATATAGATATAGGTCATATTGAAATGGGAATAATTTGGCACCTAACTTGCATATCAACTGATTAAACATAGAGACGCAAAGTCACCTCATTAGTATAACAACATTTTAAGCATTTGCTAATGCTATAATTTTCGTGGACATTTATTAATTTGCTTCTGTAGATAACTGTATATTTATATATATTAGTTACACAATATGTCTTAGCAACGAAGCTACAACCTGCTGCACAGTTTAGGCATGTTTTATTAGCAGGCAACTAAAGAATAAAGATACATTCACTTGCTTTTACGTATTTTGTCCTACACAAAGACCTGAGAAACTCTTGTCACGTTAAGCTGGGTATCACATAGTCACGGTTACTTGAAAAGCTCACCAAAATTTCCGAAAATGTCTTGTCTAAGCAAACGCAAGATTTTAAGCAGCACTTACTTCGCAAATTATGTTCATGGCAAATGTAAGTGGCGGCTCGCTCTAATTTGTCCGTCTCTAGTGATATAGACCAAATGAGTTGTCGGGTCATTTCTTCTTCTGTGTTTCGACATGTTTCCTCCGAACGTTTTCGCAAACATTTGAAGATGAGAATATGCCACTTGGTTCTTCATTGGTGTTAAGAATTTCAAAATTATCGGAAGAAGGACAACATTAGTATGGTCTAGTCACTGCAACATATCATAATTTGCACAAAACGACTTCTTGTAAGGAATCCAAATTTCTAAAGCCTGATTGCCAATATGATCCATTTCAAGCACGCACGGAGGCATTATCGAGCAAATATGAACCTGGCCAAACTGTCCTTTACGAATCAAGCCGATCCATTTGTATCAACTACGCTTGTTTTCTGATTTAAGATATAAGGCTAAATATTTATATCGGATTGCTTTTCATAGCACTTCAGATCGATACAACTGGCTTGTTGATGTGGCACTCAATATCCAAAGAACAGCATCTAAGTGAACATTTGAATGGAAGAAAGGTATAAAAATAATGTGGTACTTGTTTGGAAATTCTCGATAGCTTAAATTAGCCGCAGTTTATACATAATTTCTGTTTGAAATGTACAGAGCAGATTTTGTTTTGTTAAAATTAAAGCACGAAATAAAAGCTATAGGTTTTGGTCAACGGATTATGCATGAGATTATGCTGATGATGGTTGAGAAATGATTTTGCAAAACGGTATGTTATGGATACCTTATACAGTATAAATAAAAATGTAGCCTTAGGACCATCATTTGCTGGTTAATACGAACAAACATTTGCAACCTTCGTAAGAGTACAGCGCCGTCGGCAGGCTGTATAAATAGGCATTGAAGCAGGTTGAGTTAGCTAAACTGCTGAAGTACAAATGTAGGAAGGACTCTCTGTTTTAATGAACTGGATCTTTCATTAATTCTTCAGTGGCCAATTGAACGACCGTGCATCCGTTTTGAGGTGCGTTCGCCTCTCAAATCTACAGGATCTGAAAGTGGCTGCACTTAGCAAAGTTACAGCCAAACTCGTTTCACCAGGAAAAAATAAAATATAGTTCGCACGTAAAAATATATACGTATATAAATAGAAACAATGGATTCTTAGAGAAACCAAACCGCTGGAAACGTTTTGTATTTTAGCAGTTGATATCAATGTATATCCATGTGATACACTTATACAAATAGGTCATATATACACTACCGCAAATGTTGTCACACACAACCCACCTAACTTGATACATTACGTAAACACACTTGCTTTTAGGTTATAGATAGTTCATATCGTGTAAACGTTATGCACGATATATAGGGTAGTTTGCAAACGCATATATAATTCCAGACGCGTCGATCTTTTCACGCGGAAACCACTGCATGCTGCTAGTGAACTGAACTGTAGGGTTGTGTTATTAAATAAAACACTGACAATCACAACTGCTGTCTAACGCCCTTTCCCTAAGCTAATAAAATTTACATTTATTACCTTATGAATATTTGCCTAAGCAAAGGCCGATCAATTAATAGATTCTTTGGGCCGCTCAAAATTTTGCAAATATGGAACCCCAGTACGTACAATATCACATGTTTCTGAATTAAGGTTTCAACGCTATTCAAGTTACAGAACCATTGCTCATTAACAATGAACTCTTACATTTTATATTCAACTGATACAATAATTCAGCCAATTGTAACTATTGCATAAGAATCCGACGAGCGCATATTCTCAATATGTAGTTGTACAGATTGAAATATCTACTTTATCCCACAGTACACTATTCATCGCTCAAGTGATGGCGTAGGCTATCATTATGCACTAGATTAGCAGTCTTATTGAGTCATTGTTGAGACGCAAAGCTCTTCCACTCGAAGGAATCGGCCACAAAATCAAGCAGCATGTCACATCAGGGCTCCATATGCTCAGCTATACCAAGTGTAGTTGTTAACACATCCAGCTTACTCACGATGGTAACTACAAATAGTCAACAATAAGCTATCATACCTGGACTATGCTAACAGAATTCTTTGCTTATTTCACCAAGCGGTTCGTGGGATTAAATGTAATGTACAAATGCCTTACCTACACATAGCTTCCGTTTCATTCAGTGATCCGTAGCCGAAACTGTACCCGCTGAACTGGTTTTTCGGTATTTGGAATTTATGTCTTTGCACACAATAGGCCAACTCTTGCTCCAGTTTAAAACAGTAACCCACAGCAAAATCCACAGTCACATGAGAACCAAAAAGCAGGAACAACTCTGTGAGAAGAGAACGATGGAAAAGAAACATGCATAAATTTCAACATACAGAACCTCGAACAGACGTAAAGTGCTTTTCAGTACTATTCGTGCAACTAATAAAAAGTGGTGAGTACGGAAGTAAGAAATTTATTGTTGGACCTAGGAAGAAGAAACGGGCAAACACATACATTTGAGTATGCCTGTCACCTAAATTGCTGAGATCCTTTGGAATGAAAATGGCAGCATTCTGAACGCAGATTTCAAAAATAGTGGAAAATAAAGGATTTATATTATGTCTCAGTAAAAATAAACCTTAAAATTGTTGTTTAAATTTGCAAGTTTCTGGTTATCCGTTTTTATCCTTTTTTGCAACAACACATTGAAAGGTGTGTTTAGTCCAATATTTTTAGCTACTTATTATTTTACATTGGCAACCGCACTCTACGAGCACCACATTTGACCATCCTGCTGTCAGTTGAAATGAAATGATTGCTTGCCAATGTGCTATCTAAAGTCTGTTCACAACATTCGTACAAAAACTGTAAAAATACAACACCAGTGGACTCACTGATCTCCACCCGGTTTAAACAATCGTCGAACTTAGAGCAGTGTCCTTGTCAAGTTTCTCAAAATATCCTGCATTCTAAAATGTACATGACTAAATTCAGTGAAGCATCTCTATGTCCAACCTTGTTATAGGTTCTTGAAAGGACCCTTTCAAATCGGCAGTATCAGCATTCGCATATATCAATGTAAGCAGTTCAAGTGAATGCAGTTATATGAGGTCTATTTACTTTCAATAGAGACCTAACGGTAACCTGCCATGCTAAGCATAATGCAATAATCCAAGTTCATGAACTTGGTTGACAATTGTTTACGGTGGTATCTATACGTTCGTTACAAAATATAGAATATGTAAGCAGCCATTGTGTATAATTTCGCATAGATTTCGTGAACTAAATTGAATCTACTTTTGTAACTGGGATATTTGTTACTTTGCTCTAGGTACTGTGAAACTTAACAACTACTGCTACCCGATTGCGCTTTCTGATAAACGAATGACACACCCCTTCTAATAAATGTAAGCTTGCATTTTCCCAAAATTCAGTCAAAAGTTTGCCTATAATATAGCGACCTGATAAGTAGGGACAGATCAATTTAAAATTGCCGGTGTTGTGTATGATGTATAAACCCGCAAGCCATACAATAAGCAAAGTCCTATGTGGATGTCATGAATTGCTCACAGAGAGAAGAAAAGTGATCATTCCATCAGCAACGACACGGCCTCCGATACCATCCAAATGCTAGATGTGTCTGGTGCTTTAGGCTGTCAGCCGCCGGTGTCTGCGTTTTTACTGTATAGTGGCTTAATTAGTTCAAGTTGTTCTATCAATTTTAAGAAATTCATCTGGCACGCTATGAGTTTCATACATCATCAAAGCAAGCACGGATACATCAGTTTACCGAAGAAAAAGTTGTAACAGAACAACAAACCATGTAAATCAGTATAAAAAGCACAGTTTTGCAGGCCGCTATGGGCAGTTAGATATGGTTGTCAAAACGAAGTGAACGAAAGTAATCTACACTTTATGTAAAAAAGAAACAGGATTTAGTATATTTAAAGGTTTGTGAGCTAATATTTTGGCACTACGCCTAGTGGCATCACTATTTGATGACGTTGAAAAAATATAGCTTTTGTTCAACGAATAAAACGGGAGCGGTAATGCTAACGGCATAAAAAGTATTTGGCCGGTGGCATCATACAACCATTTTTAGGTATGAGTGGATTGTACAGAGACGACCGAATCTGGTAGCGTATTCAAAAGTAAAATCAGAAATAGAAAAAAGAATTTATTATACATTTTAGGTCCCTGGTTATTTAACAGCTCCTAGAAATTACCTCACGAAGAGGATGTTAAAGCTGCGCTGCAGCAAAAAGCGGCACACAAAATTTGGTCCGTGCAGGATCAGCGGTGTGGATTTTGAGCACACACCCGTTTGTTCCGAACTCACAGTTTGCTTCGCTGGGCGGATGCCTCGTAGCCTAAAGGGCATATATGCGAAGCCAGTCTTCCTGAATGCGTATCAAAGTGCGCTGGTATCCGGGCAGAGTACGCGCTCTTTGAACACAGTAGAGGGCGCAAGTTGCATATCTGCCAAACGTTATTTGCAGCAGGTATGTCAACAAGTAGCAAATCAAGTTGTTAAAGTGGATATTACGTCTCTGTTCTGTATTTGGAACCTTTGGATGTTTGCCGACTCAATCGATCTGGCAGCGACTACAATGAGAGTCGCAATAAACTCATATAAAACTGGGTGGCAGCATGAAGAGATACAGCGAAGCGTGGTAGTCTCAACATGCATCTGAGTAGGCACTGGGTACTGCTCTTGGTAACCCTAGGAACTCATTTCGTTGGATTCGCAAAACGAGCAGAAAGAGACGTGGTGTTAGTGGGACCAAAGGCGACGAGGGTAGACGGCCGTTCCATAGATTTGACAAAAACATTGAAGCCTTAGACCAACTGGGTTAAAAAGCAGATTTATCAACTAGAGTTAGCAGCTTCTCCTTCGATCATTAATCGTCCTCTCAATGGGCCGTCCCACGTGAACCGCCTCCACGCACAGACGCCAAGCTTGAGACAAGACTGTTGAGAATAAATAAGACCGCAGAGTAGAATAGAGTTTGCTCAGCTTGTAAAGCTGTGACCGCGTGAAACTGTCCCAGCAGACTGAAACATCTCGATAATAATCCAAATTTCCAAGGGGCAGAGGTTCTAAATGCGAACCATAGAGATTTTATTTGCCTCAAAGATACTCGTCGCTGTCGTTCTTCATAGAACTACTGGCACAACTAAAAGCCGGATTCGCGAGGATAAAGCCAGGTGCCGTCGCAGTCGCGGCCGCATTGATGACATCTTTACATTACAACGGTTATTACAGCGTCACAATATTTATAGCCGAGCCAATGTAGCCGTATTTCTCGACGTTAAAGGTGCTTTCGATTCTGTTGATCGATGCGTCTTTTGGAAATGTCTGCTTAGCAAAGCTGTTTCCGAAAAATTTCCAAATCATTTTTAGAGGCTTTAGTTGCACAATTCAGACAGAGTGAGGGTACACGGCAAACTGCCGCCCTCCTTCAATGTCTCCAACTGTATGAGTCTAGGATCCTACTATCATCTTTCCTTTTTAACTTCACCAACGTTGAAGTCATGGAGACTAAGTTAACTGGACACGAACTGCAAGGCGTGGAACTGCTCCAAATCAAGGGCTAATTGACTGGAGTACGCTGACAACATTGCCTTTATCCATGACTGCTTTCTAACCTGTCAAGTATCACTGGACAAGTTAGCAGTGACGGTCATTCGTTTCGGGCTTAGGTTTGCACCATCGAAGTGAAAAATTTCTCCTCCAATACTGGCAAGGAGTCACCCGTGCGCCGACCCATGCTTTGGATCAGCGTGAACTAAGCAAAATAGCAAGTAAGTAAG